TTTTAAAGAAATTGATGTAGATTAATGATAGGTTGTTCTTTCCTCCTACCTTTTTCAATATTATATTGCTTTTTATATGCTCTGGTAGTTAAATATTTTTCAAGTGAGTGATTCAATTTCACTTGTAGAAATAGTATTTTTGTATTAACTTTATTTGAAAATAAGGCCAATGACTGGTATAGACATAGCCTTGCATGCCAGTGCTTTTGCAAAAGTGTGTGTTTATGGGTTGTATTACTAAATATGAGATAATATTTGTTACAGTGAAAGATCAAAATCATTCATTTTTAATTGGGTTTCTTAATGATTAAAATTATATCAAACTAGCAAACATCTATATTTCAGTTGTTAATACTAAAGATTTTTCCTTCTATAAAAATGCAGGTGAGCATCCAGAACAGATAATAACTTTCTATTACAGTAAAAGGAAGAAGACAGAAAAGAAGGGGTAATGTAAAAATTAATCTAGAACTCATTAAAGCAATTTTACTAAGTACCAAATGATTAGTAATCTAGCAAAGACAAGTACCGTGACATTTTCAGTTATTAACTGTCTAAAGTGCCATGCACTGAGACTAGTTTAAAATGAAGAATAGAATTATTTTAATTGAAAACTGTGAACAATTCTCCCCTGGAGGTTCCTGAGTCTCAGTGAAAGTGAGAAGCACAACAGATAAAGCCATCCTTTCTTTCTCTCCCCTTTCTGCTTTTTATTTTTATTGAGAATAAACTATGAACAGTGTCCATTAGAGGTTAGCAAGGAGCATGGCACTTATAATTCATACAAAAAAGTAGGATGTCTTCCTTATTTAATGTATTCCCTTTATATATTTTTCTGGTTCATGGAGATAGTTTTCTCCTACATTACTCCAGGACTCAACTCTTTTGGAGTTATGTTTGGTCTTTTCTCCCTCAGCATGTGAAAAACATACGTTGCTAGCCTCCTTGGGAGAGGCATGATACAGATGGATGGATGGACAAATGAATAAATATTGTAACAATCAAAGGGCATCCCTTTAGCCAAGATCCCATCTTTACAAGCTGATAAATGTGTTTGAGGCAAGAAAACTTGTACACTAAAGTATCCCTGCCTACAGCAAACTGCAACATCCAGGTTCCAGGATCTGAGAAAATCTACTTACTTAGAAATATTCTATATACATAGGTTTTTCCTTTGACAATGCTCTGTTAAGATGATTCCCTGAGAGAAGTGGACATTATTTTCATGGGAAATAATCTTCAACCTTTTTATGATGAGCCATAATCCTCAACCTTTTGATTTTTCCCATTGATCTGTTTTACAAATAATGCCCCATCTTGTCCAGCTGAATCAAGTTGTTGGAACTGGTGGTAGAAGTCAGCAAATCTGAAAGCTGAAGCCTGCAGAGCAGCTGTCAAGAGGTACTGCTTCCTTGATTAGGGAATACACTGTCTCCCAAAAGGAATGCCACTATTTAGGGTTTTAGACAGTCTTGTCTTCAAGCAGAACTTTCTTCCCTCTCATTCTGCTTCACTTTCCTTTTCTATATTTCTCTCATTTACCTTTTAAAACTTCTTCAGAGCTCTTTAACATGGGATTATTATTTTTCCCTATCAGTGGGTATGTAAAAAGAACCCTACAAAACAAAAGTTAATTGTTTGCTACTATCACTACTGCAAAACCTTAAGTTTTTCTCACTCTCCTCTAAGCCAGTCACGGCATAGTGACTAATAAAAAAAAACCAGTATGGATTATCACATTCCCTTGACACTGAAAGAATAAATGGCACATAAACTCACAGACTTGGGAGCAGGTACCCATTTTATGCCCCAACGTCAATCCATAAAATACTTCCTATCACATCATTGACAGTTCTGTGTGGCTCAGCTAAACAGATTTGTGCTTTGTCCTCCTACATTCAAATGTAAGTCTGTATCTGCTGATCACATCGCTGTACTTATAAATGAAGAGACTATTTTCATTCTTCTACTCTAACAGTAGCCATCAGTGTGCTTTGGAGAGCATACCTTGTTGAATTTAGGCAGGGGTCTTCAGACCTGGCCCTTTTATGACTTGTGGACTTCAACTCCAAGAATTCTTCAGCCAGGCACACTGGCTGAGGAATTCTGGGAGTTGAAGTTCACAAGACATAAAAGCGCCAAGTTTGAAGATCCCTGAATTAAGGGATCTAACTTTTCTGCCCACTTTTAAAGCTAATAATAGTATTAGCTTTTGAAGATTAATATGAGTAATCATTGGTTTAAATTATTTCTAAGTGTTGATTGTAACTCAGTCTTGATGTTAGCTTGATATTTTCCTATAAATCAGCGAGTCCTCACTAGTCAATGATATAATTAATAAATTAGTTCATTTATCATTGGTTCATTTGAAGGTAGGCAGACAAGTTTGACTGTGTACAAAATACCATTAGATCAGGGGTGTCAAACTGGCAACCCAAGGGGCGGATGCATCACGCACAGACCACACCCACCCCAGCTCTGCAAAGGCAAAAAAACATCACGATACATCACGTGATGTGATCAAGTTTGACATCCATGCATTAGACAGTGCTTTTAGCACAATAAAATACATTTAAAGATATAACGTTACCCCTATATGTTCTCTCAGCCTGACAAGAATTTTCACATTCTAAGAGAAAAATATTTTCTGCAAAATATTGTCAGCCTTTACAGCCCATGGCAAGTTTATGTGCATGCAATCTTTCCATCATATTTTCCTTCATTTTGTGAATGAAAAGCAAATGTGATAATTCCTTGGGGATATATGAATAATGTAGTAAAACACACTGTTTCTAAATTATTTTTAAGCCAAAAATTGTATAGCAACACTTGGAAAATTGTATAATCTGAAGGATAATCGTGTCCTGATCCATAGATAGTACATGGAAGTTGAAATAAGATCAGTATAATGAAAAATATGGACCAAACAAATTTTTCATTATTGGTAGTCATGAATTCCCTATTTTAAGTCATGGAAAATCATCCACTAGTTAGTGCACTGGAGGAATCCCTGAGAGATAAAATTGAATTAATGCACATGGAAATTTTAACAAGGTTGTTCTGAGAGAAAAGCATTTACTATAATCCAAACCAATTAGTGACCTCACTGCCAGATAATAGGATCAGGCTTGCAGGAGCTGTGTTTTGCAAAAATTGTATTTTAACTTTGTATGTAATTCTCAAATCCTTCATTTCAAAGTTGTCTCATTTGTTTAAATAACTTCAGAATTAATGACTTCAAAATGTGAAATGATCATTTCTGTTATTCGGTTGAGTAAATATACTTTATAACAAGGAGTCTGTTGTGAATGTTTGCATCTACAAATATGAATTACTTTGCAAATTGACATTGGAGCTGTGCTCTGGATTCTGTCCAATTACATTTCTATTTCATACCTTTTCACATTCATGAAAGGTTAGTTGCCTATTGACCGGCTTTGCCTCAACCAATATTAAGGGAGACTTGTTAGCTGACCCATTATCTTTCAGGCTGAACTGTAACAATTACTTGTGCCCTCTTCTATGGCTAAGAAACTGAATTCTTAAAGTTGGAACCTTGCAAGATTTTTGTTGTAGTTTATGTTCTCTGACAGCAGTTACTTACTGTGAAGTGAGTTAATTACACTGTTGTAAATTGCAGGATATAATGATTGGGTTTAAGATTTTGAATTATTTATTTTTAAATGTTATACAGTAGCAATACTAGGGAATTGAAGTATCTTGGAGCTGTATGCTCATCTCTTGCATGTTTCACCTCTTCTTTTCCCTTCCTGGGAAATTCCTCAGCCAGTGTGCCTGGCTGAGGAATTCTGGGAGTTGAAATCCACAAGTCATAAAAGGGCCAAGTTTGAAGACCCTTGCTGTTGGTAAATGACTTGATCTAGGTTGATATAAAAACAACAGCAACAACAGGAATGGGCCTGGCTGATATTTAGATGTGAAAATATCAGGAAATTCCAGGCTTCTAGGCTTGCTAAGAAAAAAAGTAGGCAGTGACTAACCACTTCCATATTTTTGCTTTTAAAACTAACTGGAACTTCCCATGGAGTAAGCAGGACTCAAGCTCAACTTTGAAGGTGGACTTTATTTTGCCATTGTGAAATTTTATTTCTAGACCTGAGAGGTATGGCATATTCCCATTCAGAGAAAGCATTGAGTGGATAGTAGTATAACAATGCTGCTTAGGGGAAGAACGCAAAAGGGAGGGAGAAGAACAGGAAGAAGGGACAGGATCATCTATGTAAGCTACAACAGGTACTTATTATGTGGTAGGTTGTGAGAAATATTGAAACTCCATAGACATCAAGATGTGAACATCAGTTCTGTGGATCTGCTCACTTTCTGGAAATGCATGTCTTTGTCACAAAAAAATCACATTTGTTATTTTAGTTTCTTTTAGCTTTGCTTTGTGTGTTGTTAGAATTTATATAGAAAAGAAGTTAAAAGCCTTTCATTTGCCCCACTCCCCTTTTGTAGCTTGCTGAACTGCTGAATAAGCATACAATCCTAAAGCTTAGATTAGCACCTCACTGGCTCCCTCAAGATAAGGGAAGATGCTAGATCCCATCATAATAATCTACACCTAGGGAGGATCTTCCTTCCCAGACTTCACCCATCCTTAGGGCAATACTCAATACACATCTAAATGATCAAAGCCCAGAGCAGGAACTCCTCAATCTGTATATCTAAACATCAAAGCCTGCTTGTCATTATAGATACCTCTACTGGTAAACCCCTAATGAAGCAGACTACCTTCAACAATTGTACATGGTTGAAAGAATAAACTCTATTTCTAGCAGCACATTGGTGTTTATTTTGTACTATATGTTTGACCCAGCTCAGAAAGTTAGACCAAATAAATTCTTCTAACAGTGTAAAAAATCATTTTCTCAGAAAACAAAAAACAGTTATCTTTTTCCCTTAGTAAAAAAAAACTGAGGATATTTTAATTGTTCAGATAAATATTTAATGCTTTGCATTCTTCTTGTTGTTTCTAACAGATGACACGGGAACAGTATATACTAGCAACACAGCAAAATAGTCTGCCAAGAACAGAAAATCCTCAACTTTATCCAGTAGGGATTTATGGCTGGCGAAAGAGGTGCTTATACTTCTTTGTCCTCTTGCTATTGGTTACCATGATCGTTAACTTAGCCATGACAATATGGATCCTGAAAGTAATGAATTTCACAGTGGTAAGTAGCACTTTTTGAAATGGAGGTTATGTGGTTTACAAATGTTAAAGGAATTTGGTATGATTATTTAGTATTATCTTTTAGTTTTCAAACAGCTTTGAGGGTTTGGGGAGTAAAACAATGGTGGTATAAAGTGTTCTTTGTCTGTTGTTAATGTTCATCACTTTTAATTATTAAGTGCAGAAAAGCCAATTGATTCTAATTCTGAATATAGAACATAGTACTTTTATTTCTGGGGCAATCTGGCTCATCATTGCTAATAGATGCTATGTCCATCTAGCTCCAATTAGTATCCATTATTAATTCTTGTAGTTTGTAAGAAAATATTATGACAGCTATTTCTGAACTTTCAGCAATGACAATTCTGGCTGGAACTTAGGAATTGATCCCCCAAAAAGGGAATAAAGAGGAAAAGATCAAGCCAAGTGATTGGCCTGGGTTAATGGCGTCCCTCCTGGCCTCAATAAAAGAGTTACCAAAAGATTGATGGCTCTGGAAAGGTTCTCCAGACTACTTTGATTACCAGAAGAAGAGCTAATAAAAAGCATAATGCCTACTGCTCAGATTAACAAAGGAACGACATATATATATGCTTTTATTTTGTTTCATTGTGTTTGTTTTTTGTTTTGTATTTTACTTATGATAAAACAAGTAATATTAAAAAAAGAAATCACAAAGCCAATAGGAAGAGTTATTGGGGTGTCTGTGTAATCTTAGTTTTTAAAATTAATTTATTCCCTGTTCCTAGTAGAATCCCAGTACACACGGGAATCATATAAGATTACAAGGCACTCTACTTTTTTTCACACTGACGTCCAGGTCCCAGACTTCTTTCTGGTGCACAAACGTATGAGTTTGATTGAAAAAGGAAACAATTCCCTAAAGTCAATGCTTTTGACCTCTTAGCTTGACCACAGTATTTGTTTTAAGTAAGAACTGAGCCCATTGAACTTGCAATTGAGAACAGGATTAGGGTTATGCAGCACTGTAGATTAGGATTTATATTTCCCATTAAACCTAAATAACCACAGGCATTACTGTGGCACTTTGACTAGAATTACTTGTCTACCCTTTCAAAGGTAGATCATGAAACAGACCCCACGAGAACTATTGGAACTCTATTGTTCAAAGTATAGTATAGAATCTCTCTCTCTCTCTCTCTCTCTCTCTCTCTCACACACACACACACACACACACACACACCTCTTAATCTAAAAAGAATTGAGACAGGACAATCCTGAGTTTCTTTCCCACATCCTCTTATAGGACTAACCATCCTTGCATTCCTTTTTCAAGGTGAATTCCATACTCCACTACCTGCCTTCTCATTCTGTCTGCTTAAATATTTAAAGTGTTGTAATGGGTGTGATTTAGATATAAGAAGCATAGTGAGATTTCATACATGTGCAGAAGAAAAACGACACTTGAGATCTGAATTTAGCAAGCAGAGGGAAAACATTGTCTTTAGTCTGTTGTCTGCTTTTTTGCTTAAATTATATACATGGGCTTAAATTTATACTTATTCATATAAATTTTAATAAATTTAACAGATAACATTTTAAATTCTAATGTACTTTGTAACTAAAAACAGGTTTATGTGAGTTCACTTTGTATGAAATTTCAAGAAATTATTTGATAAATGTTAACTCTGTCACTTTAATACTGAATCAAATTAGATTGGATATACGGTAGTTGACATCTAAACTAATATTTACAATTTTTGTTACTTCATCCTTAAAACACAGCATCTTTCCCTCTCTCTCTCCAGATAGGAAGATGCAGAAATAGAAAAAGAATGTACTTTAAAAGTTATATTAAAAAACAAGAAAGCAACAATCAAATTTATCAGGAAATCATATTGCTCTACTGCTGTTATATTTCACTTTCATTATTGTTTCTTGCTATCCCCAAAATTCAAATTCAGATTCTGGTTTGTTAACACTGGATATTGAAGGGAGCTATTAACATTGTAGTTGTCTGATATGTGTGCTCCTAGGTGATGACCAGGACTTGCTTTCTTTTCAGTGACAAGAAGAATTTGCAAAAATTGCATTGGTAGGATGAAATTATTAATATGTATTATTTAATATTTAACATTCAACATAAATTGATTCAAAATGGGATATAAATGACATGGTTACATGTTTTTCATTCATCTGTTATCTCTGTCTACCTACCTACCTATCTACCCATCTGTCTATAATCTGTCTGCCTATCCATCACCTCTCTGTCTGTCTCTCTATCATCTATCTATCATCACCAAGAGCCGTAGTGCAGCATTAATTTTGCAATATTGCAGGCTAACTGCCCGCAGCCTGGAGTTCAGTCCTGACAGGCTCAAGGTTGACTCAGCCTTCCTTCCTTCTGAGGTTGGTAAAATGAGGTCCCAGATTGTTGGGGGCAATATGCTGACTTTGTATACCACTGAGAGAGTGCTGTAAAACACTATGGAGCAGTATATAAAAGGTCTATTGCTATTACTATTGCTGTTTATCTATTTCAGTATGGAGATAAAAGGCAAAAAGTCCTCTTCACAATTATTTATTAGATTTGTTAATACCATCCAACTCCAAAAAGACAGTGGACAGTTTATAAAATATCAAATCTACAATTAAAGAAAAAATGAAAACATAACTGTGTGGACAAGACACAATAACAAGCAAAAAAACCCCTTCCATTTTCTAAACCTTGGGTCAGTAGTCAACAGATGTACCAGTCAATCTGATGTTGAAATGTAGTGCATCATTTGCATACTGATTATACTGATTCCCAGACTGATGAATGACTTCACCAAGAAGCTTCATGTAGAATTTAAACAGGAGAGATGAATGTGTTGAACTTGAGTTACTCCACATGTGAGGGGCTGCAGGACCAAACTCTTCCCTTTGTCCACACTGACTAGAAATAACCACTGAGGAAAGAGGCAAAACAGTGAAACACAGTACCTTCCACTCCTAACCCCTGCAGAAGTATACTACAAAGGTCCCTGAATGATCAGGGGCCATAAGGCTGGATGGACCATTCCCTTCTAGCTCTGTCAAAGGTCATCAACAACCTTCACCATAAAGGAAGGTTTGGAAAGTAGATAGAAACTGTTCAGAATGGAGGGGAATCTATCTATAAAACATTTCAGATCATTATTTAATGTAGGCTTTTTCCACATCATATCAAGGAAGCAAAGGACTAGAAAATATGAAACATTCTCTCCTATTTTGATGTCACATGGATATATGAGAAGAAAAGAATTTTATTTGCCATGACCATAAAAGTTGTATATAAATATATTCATGACTTATATAGAGGAAGAACCAGAAATTTCAACTTTCTTATAACAATTTAAGATGCTGGGAATAGTATATCATTAGAAAACCCTTTAGCTGGCCAGTAAAGATCTGGGCATTAAAACAATACTATGTTGTAGATTCACTTGGGAATATATTGGAGTTGAAAACAAAGGAATGGTGTTTTAGCTTGGAATGAGAAATTGCAATGATAGTAAAGCTCTCATGAAATTCTATAGTGCAATTGAGATAGAGGCAAAAGAAAATGAAAACATTGGCAAGAATAAACAAGGGGCATTAGCAGGTAAAAGAGAAAATAATCAACCTCTTAGCTCTTGGAAAAGATGGAATATGGAAAACTGAAGATAGATCCATCTGGTATAAAAGAGGCAGAGGGAAACTCTGGCAGGCTTTCAAGATTCTGTTATTAAACCTGACCGCAATACAGTAGAGTCTAGCAGTTTATGTTTTCTGACTTAGTCTACCTGGAAGGGCTGACCACTCATAATAATGTAGACATTTGTGATCATTGTGGACTGAGCATTGTTACAGAATTGGAAGATGAGCAGAATGGGACAGAGTGATTAAAGATGAAGGGGGGAAATGAATTTTATGGACATTGTAACCTGCAGCAAAATGAGTAAAATAGAAAGCAAAACAGATAAATTTAAAATAATATAAAATTAAGAAAATGAGTGTAAAGGAAAGGTCTCCCCTCTATTTCACAATATTGGAGCATCCAATGAAATTAAATATGAATTGATTCACATTCTAAAAAAGTATTTCTTTGCATTGCATGAACTATGGAATTCTCCTGTGTCAGTTGTGCTGATGGTCACATATCTAAAGTTTATTTTGTTTAAGGGACTAAACAAACTTCAGGAAAATAGTGCTGGGAATGACTAGATGGCTGTACATTACCTTCAGAATCAAAGGCAGTTTGCCTTTAATTCTTGTTGCTAGGGAGAAACATAAAAGAGGCAATTGCTTTTATGTCCTGCTCGGGTTTCTTACATGTATCTGAGTGATCACTACTTGATTGAAAATTTTCAACAAGATAGCCCTTTGACCTGATTAGCAGTTTTTAAGTATTTCAAAGAGTATGGAAATTTCTAATTTTCTTTGGTCTGCTATCACAAATATGCATAGACAGAAATATTTTCTTACAGCAGTTGAAGTTTATTTCATATCTGATTCTGAACACGTGGGTTTGAAAATGCTAGTTATATTCATCTCTCTTGAAAGATCCTGAAATCTATCATATTTTATGGTATTAGATATTTTACTGAGTTTTTAAATCTGTTCTTTACAAAGCCATGCATTATTAACATAATTTATAGTTACTGCCAAAAATCCACCTTTTCACATGAAGCTTCCCAAACCTGTCATTACTTGAATAGTGACTTTCATGGATAATCCTAAAGATCTTCTATTTCAAATCTCATAATACTTATTTTTCAAAAATGGATTAGACTCATATAATGCACTTGAAACACTAAGGGATCTATTAAAGGGAGAGAGTGACTTAGAGTAGAATGGAGAGAAAAGGACTGAGAATAAACTATTTCACAGCCTCTGATATTTATAAAATGCAAACATTTAAAATTAACCCCTACTTATATGGCAATGTGATGCCCTATTGCATACTAATGTACTCATGCCCTTTACAAATATTTTTTTTTCGGGTTCATATTCCTTCAGTGGATTTTTTTAAAGAAG